AACAAAACAAAACAAAATCAAGCAACACCCCTTCTCCTTTCCTGTGAGCTCCACTGCCTTCAGCTGATGTGAGAAGACATCACTGCTCCACACCAATTCTGTATACACGGAAACGGGCACGGAAAGAAGACAAAGTTTAGCATGGGTGAGTCATCTCAACGAAGCTGTTTGCCATTAGAGATGGAGGGCGCCCAGCTTAGAGGCACAGATGCCCATCCATGTCAGCAGGGCACAATAGTGAACCAGCAGATTCCCCGTCAAGCCAATGGCCCCATCTTTATTAAATGTTTTCCCCACTTCTGTGACAAATAACTGGCAAAAAGCAACTTAATGGAGAGTGTGTTTGGGCTGACAGCCTGAGGAGACAGCTCACCACGGTGGCAAGGCGTGGGGCAGTTTGCAGGAGCTTGTGGTGGCTGCTTGCTGACATCTCAGTGGAACAGAAAACAAAACTTCCATGCCCAGTGTCCAGTTTCAGCTTGATTTTCCTGTCCTGCAACCAAGGCATGTGGTACCTTCAGCAGTAGGTTTTGCTGCTGGTTCTCAGAGCCAATTGACTGTATTGTTTTGGATGCTTCAGGGGCCACTCTGACCAACTCCCAAGGAGGCAGCTCACCCTTGGCACTGGGGTTTTCATTGAATAAACTATGGCTTCTGGGAGCAGCTTTTTTGTTTGCTTTTTGTTTTTGTTGGTTTGTTGGTTTGTTTTGTGTGTGTGTGTGTGTGTGTGTGTGTGTGTGTAGACAGGGTTTCTCTGTGTAACAGCTGGATTGACCTGGACCTAGCTCTTGTAGATCATGCTGGTCTCAAACTCACAGAGACTTACCTGCCCCTGCCTCCTGAGTGCTGGGATTAAAGATGTGCACCACCACCACCATGCTTCTGGGAGCAGCTTTATCCACTGACAAAGGTACAGTTACCCTTTTTCAATTTGTGTGTGTGTTTCCTCCTTTATGATTTGATTAGCTTATCAAGAATCAGATTTGTGACTTTTTCATACACCATTAGTTTTGATTCTCCCTCATCCCCACTTTCCGCCCTAGCCTTTCCGTCTCCAGTATTCTCCTTTCCCCTTTCATCTGTCAGTGTTCTACTACCCTCCCCACACTAAAGAATCTTTCCCCCTTCTCATGCGCCCCGTTCTTCTTTCCTGAGCTCCAGACACTCACTCCTACAGAAATATGCACATACGTAATTGACTCAGGCATATTCCTAGCTAGCTCTTACATCTTAAATTAACCATTTCTATTAATCTCTGTATCACCACAAGGCTGTGGCCTACCGGTAAGGTTCTGGCATCTTTCTCCTTTGGCAGATATATGGTGTCTGCTTTGACTCAGCCTTCTTTCTCCCTGCATTCAGTTTGGTTTTCCCGCCTAGCTCTATTCTGCCCTGCCATAGGCCAAAGCAGCTTCTTTATTAACCAATGGTAATAAAACATATTCACGGCATACAGAGGGGAACCCCACATCACACATAGAAAAGAAGCTAGGGTCCAGAAAGGAAGAAGAACATGCGCTGTTTTCTCACAGAGCCTAAACTACTTTACTTGCTGTATTTTCCAGTTCCATTCATTTTCATCCATTCATATGCTGCCTCTGTCTTTACTATTGTGTAGACCAGCAATACCAAGAATATACAAGTATCTCTGTAGTAGGATATATAGAAAGAAAAGCACTCTGCCAACTGAACCACATCCCTAGAAACTTGTTCTGACTGAGACACTAAGGACACGTGGAAGCCAAATTCAACATGCTATTCTAGACTGGACCCCTGCCCCCTTCTTTTCTGAGACATGGTCTTATGTAGCTCAGGTTGGCCTCAAATGCACTATGCTCTTCCGGCTTCTGTCTCCTGAGTGCATTTGATCAGTATCTAATTCTTGAGGTCCTTGGACTTCCCACAGGGCAGGGAACCCTCACTGCTCTTTGGGCTGATGAGGGAGGGGGACTTGATTGGGGGAGGGGAAGGGAAATGGGAGGCAGTGGCGGGGAGGAGGCAGAAATCTTTAATAAATAAATTTAAAAAAAGAACATATTATGATTGACATTCCAAAAAAAAAAAAAAAAAAGCACTACCAACTGTCTGCAACTTTGCTCTATGGGATGAGGAAGATGGCAAAGAAAGCCCCGAGACCCTGAGGGAAGAGGTAAAATCAGCCTTGATAACAACCGTGTCACCATATGGGGCATTTTGTTTTGGTTTGATATTTTTGGTTGCTGAGTTTGTTTCATTTTTTTTTTAAAACAGGATTTCCTTATGTAGTCCAAACTGGCCTTGAGTTCAAAATCCACCTGTCTCTGTCTCAAGAGGGTTGTGACTGCAGGCTTCTACCACCATGCCTGGCTGTACGGGGCTCTGGCATATGGGCAAAAACAAATGCTACAGAAGATTCCAGAATTACATAGAAGTTTTGTATTGTGAACAAGAAGATAGTTAATTAAAATCATTTTGGGAAAAAAGTTTGGATCCATTCTTCTTTGTATATTCAAACACAAATTCTATCTAGATCAACCAGATACTTGAAAATATTAAATATGTGAAGCAATGATACTCCTTCAGTAAGGAGCACACTAGAATGTAGTTGGGGTTCTAAATGTCATCCCCTTGTTAAAAGGGTGGAGTCACAGTTGGCTACCTATTCACAATGGCCGGTCACTTCACCGGGTGTCACAAAACTGTCACAGCTGGAATGTGAGCGGTCCCCAGCCGGTGTCACTGCTTTGGGAGGTTGTAGAACACTGTGGGTATAGAGTATAGTTGGCAGACCTTGGGCAGTAGTTGGCCCTGTTCCTGCCAGCTGGAGATGTCTCGCTCATGAATTAGCCGCTTCACACTCCTGCCACAGCCACAAGGTGTGAATTCTGCCATGCCTTCCCCACGGAACTCACTGCATTTTCTCAGACCATGAAACAAAGTAAGTCCTTCCTCTCTCAAATCGCTTCTTTGGGTATTTTATCAGAGCGGCAAGAAAAACGTGATGATTTTCCAACTTTGTCCTTTTGTTTGAGTGTGTGTGTCTATGTGTGCACGCCATGTGTTTGTGGGTACCTGGGGGAGCTAGACGGGGGAGTCAGAACCCCTGGAGCTGCTGTGAGCCATCCAACATGGGTTTCTGGAAACTGAACACATCTCCAGTCCTAACACTGCTAACAGTGCCAACTCCAACACACATTCCTATCCAATGCTTACCGCTCCCGAGTCCCAGCATAAACCCATGGATGAGATGGGGACTTGAGAGTCTGTCTCCTGAACCCCACTGCTGCTGTGCGCGGGGACATTTCACTTTCCTGGGAACACCAGGTTCCCGTTTTCAGATCTCAAGCCCATGATGTAGTCTTTAACTGCTCTAGGCTGTAGGCTGTCTTTCTTCCAGACAGACTTCCTAAAGTTTAAGAGTTGCATACATACCTGAGTTGTGCTCATACTCAGACTTGTACATGGAAAAGTAAAGACGATAATCAAGATTTGGCCAATAAAAATGTGAAGTGATGTCCGTAAAAGTCATTGGGTGAGGGGGGGGGGGTCTTGTCTTTTTTTGCAATATGACACTGTCGTCTACACATGTGGTGGGCTATGGTCATACCTACCTGTAGGCCCCCATACGGGCTCCGACACCTACCCTGGAGATATGAGGCCCAGAGGCAGTAGAACATACCTAAATGGTTATGTGGATAACTCAGAAATGCTGACGTGCAGAAAATTTTCATTAAAAAGACAGGCTCCTCCCACATCCGTCTCATCAGATTAACAGTGACAGAGGGAAGGAGGGAGAGGGAGATCATGCCATCTCTTTCCTCATGGTTCCCCACATTGCTTCTCACCCAGAAAACTGGTTCCTAACACTTCTAGCAAAACTGCTCATTTCTTGGCCCATGATTTCCTCTCTACAGTGGCCCACAAGCCCATCCCTGGGACGGTTCACCTTGAATGGGTCTACTTGGTGGACCCCGCCTTCTCCTGCAAGCGGGCAGTGGCACGAACACACATCACCGAGGAAGGGACTTCCCACAACGGTTACCACTCTCTACTGAACTTGTCCACTGCTCACCTGGGTTATTCAGAAAGCATTTTTGTATATGCAAGGGATTTATCAACAACCTTTGGGAAATGAAATGCTAAAAACTTCAGTTATGGTAAGGTAATGTATATATGACCCTCTGTCTAAGTGAAGAAGAAAAGGTTACAACTTGGTGCCACGTGTCTTTTGTTTAGACTTGCTTGGATGTACACGATCTCAGAGCTGACCACTTGCTACTGGATAACCACTTCCTGGGCTCACCCCTGCGACAGACTGAGTCTCCCTCTCTCAGCAATTGTTAGTCTCTGTCAATGCGATCCTGTGAGATGTTCTCATCCACGCTGCCAGACCAGCTGTGCTGTCAGGGTTCAGGTCTTGTTTAGGCAGCCACATCGTTACGGTACGATAGGAGTATCTTGTGTCATTTCTAAGTACCACACTCTCAGAGCCGACGCCCTGGTCCCCTGGCTCTTCCAACTCTTACACTCTTTTTTTTTTTAAAGATTTATTTATTTATTATGTATACAACATTCTGCCCCCATGTATGCCTGCACACCAGAAGAGGGCGCCAGATCTCATTACAGATGGTTGTGAGCCACCATGTGGTTGCTGGGAATTGAACTCAGGACCTCTGGAAGAGCAGCCAGTGCTCTTAACCACTGAGCCATCTCTCCAGCTCTCTTACACTCTTTCTGTGCACCCCACTTCTGCTATGTTCCTGAGGCCTCACATCTGGGGCTGTGCTGCAGCTATGTTGATGGGGACTGGGCACCCCATGGTCAATTGTGGATTTCTGTTATGGCCTCCTTCTGCTACATAGAGAAGTTTCCTTCATGAGGGATGAGGGAGAAACTGATCTGCGGGCAAACGACAAGCACTCAGCACGCAGCCAGGAATCATGCTGGTTTAGTAACGTGACGGTACTGGGCTCTCCTCTAAGACCCTCACTTGCTTTTTCCCAAAAGAAAAACATTCAAAGTAAAACATGAACATTTAATTGCCTTTAAATAATACATGAAATAATTTACATGCTATACATCCCAAAACACAATGAACATAAATCCAATTTTATAAGACATTCACACAGACTTTTGCCAACATACACCCTGTACGTCACCCAGGATGTTATCTGTGTGTGAGCACGCAAACACATATGTGTATGTGAAGCTGGAGATTAGCATAATGAACCAAAATGATGAGTATAGGAAGTCTGCCATAGAGGAGTCTAAAACCACAACCTGATAGAACCAAGGCACAAAAGCTTCCTGTTGTGGCCACAGAGATTAAGTTTCCTTTCCCAATGTCTAAACACCATTAATTATATATTTTTATAGTACATTTCTGTTACTTTTTAAAATGCAGTGTTTTTATTACATAGGTTTTATGGAAGTGAATTGTAAAAATAAACAGGACTAGAGAAAAATCACATACAATAAAGCTTTCTTCTTGTTCAAAAACAGATACATATGTTCAAAACTAATACAAGAAATATTATAGATACAGGTGTAATCAGGAGATATGTATGATAACTTATGTAGACTTCTTAGTGCTCTTGAACTGTACCTCATGACTTCCATAGAATTAGACTCTGTTTTAAAGCCAGCTGGTAATACTGTCAATTGGAGGTGATTTTTGAAAAAGATGTGTACGCCCTAGTGCACAGAATAAACAATGACTGTAACAAAGAAAACAAACCCTTCCCAGAGCTAAAGCTGCTTTTGTTGGACATTAACTGGCTCCCCTCAGTGTTCCCTTTCTGTTCCGTCTATATTTTAAGAGAGAAGAAACATATTCCACATAAAAATGATTGCTTCAAAACTCACATAACCAAGCGAAGTCCCCCACTACCAGTCCGCCCCATTTTACTTCACCTGAAAGTTCACAGGCAGGTACACGACAGAGAAATGCTCTAGGAGATCAGGCATTTCAGAATGTAGTTAGTACTCGGAACACGTTAGAGCTTTGCCACTTTAAACGTACAGTTATCAAAGGATTAAAGCCAACCACGAAGCAAGAATTAAGAGAATGCAGTAATCTGAAAGTAAATGCCAAATGTGCTTATACTAGTCTAAGGAATCAGTCCTCTAAGCTGTAAATAATGAACTGTCAGCTGCAGCTCGAACCAGTGACAACCAGAACAAAGCCCTCGAGGCCTTAGCACTGAACATGGTGGGCTTGGCCAATTGCGAACTGCCAGAGTCTAGGCTCTCTGTACAGGAACGCCGCCGCAGCGTGTGACCGTCAGGAAATGAGAGTGCAGTTCTTTCCATGAAGTAAGGCTGACTGAGGAGAAATCAGACATCTTGTCCATGGCTGTAACACCAAAAGAAAAAGCTGAGAATTTACTTTAAGGCTGTCTCAGAAGTACTTCTCATGGCACTTCGATGTTAAAATGTCACTATGTGGCAAAATACACAAAGAGTCACACATCTCAGACCTGAAAGCACATGCCGCGCCAGTCATTCAGGAGTCACACTGTCAGGTCTGTTTTCTCAGTTAAATTACACTTAAGGAAAGCTGCTTGAGCTTGGTTGTAATTAAGACCTGAATCAACAGCCTGTCCCTCACTGGTGTACCGTGTAAACCATTTTCAGTAAGTGCGCCCAATACCACCCACTTCCCACAGAAACAATATCGCTCTTGCTACAAACGGCACTTAGCTGACTTATTCGTCTCAAGAGCAGTCATGATCCCTTTCTCAACTATTCACCTGCTGCTAAGCCCCAAAGTCATTCAAGAAATCCTCCTGCCACGTGTACAGAGCATCATCCTCCAGCTCCACATTTCTTACACGACAGTCAGTCCAGGCAACACTGAAGGGGTCTAACAAGTCATTCTTGCCACACCGTACTCCAAGCTGACCACAGCAGGCTCCGACTTGGAGAACTCCTCGGGGTAGTCGCAGTACCGATTATCCGCTGGGCTGCTGCCCTCTATAGCGCGAAGCGTGTCGTTCACCGGGAGCAGGCTCTGCTCTTTCAGACACAGGGAGGTTTTGAGGGCAGGCGATTCAGGGTGAACGCCAAGCAGCAAGTCCTTCGTTAGGATGCCATTTTTGCACTGCGTAATTTTCTAAGACAGAACATGGAGAAAACATTAGTAACTACAGATACTAGGTGATCAGTCTAGGTTAAATGAAGGAAATCTGCTTTTGCAAATGTTCCCCTTATCCATGAGACATAATTATAAACTCAGCAACTAAAAATCCCAATAGTTTAAAATGTATCAAAGAAAATTTATCAAAGAAAACTTCATTAACTTTTTACATTTGTCAACTGAGTCAACCAGATTTGACTGGAAAGATTGCTAGGCTTTCACATGCCAGAAGCACACGTATACTTAAGTTTAACAAGCAATCATTTTATAAGGACTCAGATGTAGAGGACATGCTCAACCTGAAGTCACTATAACACAACAATGACCACACATTACTGAGCTAAGAGTTCTGCTGATCATGACAAGATTCCCGGAGGGTGTCCCTCACTAAGGGCCGCAAAGTGACCTTTGGGAGGTCATACAATCTTCTTACATTTTTTTTTTCTTTTTTAAACGTAAGATTTAAAGTGCCGTTTGGCAGGGCATCACACTCTCCAAATCAACTATCTCCAGACAATTGTCTCATGCTGTCTGTCTTGCCCCTCCTCGCCTTAACACTAACATGTCCCTACGGCTGCCTCAGCGGCAGACAGGACAGTCCCCTAAACAGAAACAACTGTTGAGGATTTAAACATATATATGTGTATATGTATACAGATATATACAGACAGACATATTCGTTCATTTAGTTAATATATGATGGCAGAGAAATGATCATAGGAAAATCTTATCCTGGAGACAGATTTAATACACGCATGTAACAGAGCATAAGGGTAACAGTAGTAAGGTGGAAAAGAGAACAGCCCAGACACAGTTATTTTCATTAAACTGAGCAGAGTTTATAAGGAACCTTGTATATAAGGAACCCTGACAAATCATAACAAAAAAAGGCAAACAGGCCAAGAGAAAGTGAGACCATTTGGAAGTTTATTCTCAACAGAAGGAAACAAAATGTTCAATCAACTTTCTTCATCTGCAATTGAGGAAACCCAAAATGGAAGACACCTTCACGCAGTACATTAAACAAATGTTTTATTAGACAACCCAAAATACTTACAGCTTCTAGGTCTTTAATGTCTTCCTCTAACTGCTTGTTTTGCTCATTCATATTCATAATTATATTCAATACAGACTGTCGAGGATGGAGCGTCCGATCAAACTGGTGGTACATGTTTCTCCAAAACCTTTAAGACAAAGAAGTTTTTACCAAACACCATTGGATGGAATAGTGAGCTCTGAGGCTCTCAGCACAGTCAAGTGGGAACAGCTCACACAGCCTGTTCTGAGCTCTGTAAACAACTGAAAGTAACTCACACACAGTAACGATGCTCCAGTCTGATTAGGACATGCTGTACCCAGGTTCTAAAATAACACACTGTTCATAAACATACACTGTTTATTCATTAAAATCAAGAGAACAATGTAAAAGCATGGGAATGCTAACTGTCTTCGTTTGGTCATACAACACATTGCACCCCATAAATATGTTTAATTAATGTAATAGTTTTAGGGGCTGGAGAGATGGCTCAGTGGTGAAAAGCACTGGCTGTTCTTCCAGAGGCCCTGGGTTAAGTTCCCAGCACCCATACAGAAGTGCACAACTGTCTGTTTTTCCAGTTACGGGGAGTCTGATGCCCTCTTCTGGCTTCCATAGGCAACACACACACACACACACATACACACACACACACACACACACAGTGTACAGATACCCACACAGGCAAAATACTCATGCAAATAATAATAAAATAAATACTTTTTAAAGTCCCTAAAATTTGTTTTAGAAAAACCACATATAAATGCTTCAAAGGTGCCAACTTACTTAAAATTGAAAGAAGCCGTATTTGGCTCCAAGACTGTCAGTCTCTCAGATTTGGAACTGTAGAGAGGATTTAAGTACTTCTGTCTGTCATCCAAAAGAAAGGGCCACAGGGAGTAAGTCTTCTCCTTCAACCTTCGAGAACAAGGACAACACAGAAGTCTCACCCAAGTGCACAGTATGCTGCTAACTCTACAGATGAGGCCGTCGCTTCCAGTGACTTCCAGCTGTAGACTAACTGCTACTGTCTGAGCTCTCCTTTCCCTGTGTTTTCTTTCTCATTTGTGACTACGTGTGATAGATGTGTCCTGAGCACAACACAGGTCAAGCACTGTTTCTCACCCTTGTTCCCATGGGGATTCTTCTCACACACCAGGACTGCCCAGCCCCACCATGTTCACTCGGGGATTCTTCTCATGCACCAGGAATGCAGGCACCAGGAATGCCCCACCGGAGGCAGGGCATTGATGCAGCTGCTCCCCCTTGTTCTCAGAACCCCATGCTGGGCCATGAGAGCTATTACACGGACGGAAACACATTTCAGGGGAAGAATTTGAAATACCAGTAACATGCTTGTCTAAAGTACACAGACGGCTGGTTGCAGAAAAGGTTTCTACACAGCAGGTGAGCCTTACAGATGCTACAGGCATGTACCAGTGCCATGTGCCCTAAGATGTATGTTATAAGAACGACTACTAAGAAATATCCATTGTTATTTTCCTCTTCTTGTTGTTTGAAGATGTTTGGTACCAATTGAGAAGGTTTTCCTAAAACAGAGTTTTGTACCCCAAGAAAAGTCAGCTGGCCAATTATAAAACGCGAAGCTAATTGCTCATCTTTGCACAATGCGCTCATCTCTTACTCCCTGCACACCTTTACAGTTTCCCATGTCTCCTCGCTTCTGCTGTCAGCTCTCCTGGAAGTGTGGGCATGTGTCTGTCTTCCACCTACAACCAGGGCCAGCCCCTCTCTATGTCACTTGGGAGATCTAGATTCGCTGTTACTGTAATAAATCTAAACTCCAAATCCAAACCCAAAACACAGTCTTGTTAGGAAAGATCACACATGTAGGCAGTGAGATTTACTGAGCTGGCTACAAATCCTACATGTACTTTTCTGGATACTATTATTATTTAAAATATATTTCAAAATGTATTTTTCCTATTACCTGGGAAGACATTAGTAGGGTACTTTAACTTCAAAACTACCGACGATAAACTCTAAAGTAAACTCAGTCCTGTCTGAAACTGTTAAGGCCTTTCATTCTGCAGCCATGACCAGGGTGGGCTGACTTGGGGCGTGCAGGAGGAAAAGGCCCATTTTATCACCCACTTACTTGAGTTCCTCTCTTTCCTTCTGACAGTTCCCAATGAAGTTCCCGAACTGGCATGAATGAACATGCTCGTGGATCTGAAGGAGAAACGCTTCGTTGAACTCAAAGGCTTGTGGGAACTGCTCAGTCAGATGCCACACACACTCCAAGAACTGAGTAAACACCGGGGAGACTTCCTTCGGGTCACCGTCCAAATGGCCACACCTAGCCCCCGCAGAGAGCACATGCTTTTAAAAATGCCTCTGAAAGACGTTCACTACTTAGGTATTGCCAATGTAAACACACAACACTAATACATTACACATAATACAGACATATAAAAGTCCACTTGTAACCATCATTTTAGTGCACATCTGTAACCACTGCAGGAGGACCAAAAGTACAAGGACGGCATTGCTACAAGACTGTCTTTGTCTCAGAAAAAACTCAATGGCCATGAGAACTAACAGAGACGCTACATCTGGCTTCATTCAATTCATAGCTACAGTTCTCGCAGCACAGAGATGCGAAAATTCCCAAGAAAAGGAACACAGTGGTACAATTTTGCAAAGATAGAATTGCCACTCACCTCTCTGAAAATTTATGCCCAAACGATATCCAGTCTTTTTCTATTAAAACCTAGTGAGAGAGCAAAAGCAACTATATATATATATAACTATTTTCAATGTAAAAAATGTATGACAATTCTGCTAAGAACAGAAATAAAAAGATAAAATACTACAGATAAAAACACGGCCAGACCCTAGACTGGAGTAAGGGCTACAAGAGAGTGAAGATCCACACGAAATGGGCTTAGGACTATTGCTGTTGGGTTTAAGAGTACACCTGGTAGGGCAGAATGACATTTTTGTACCTATAAATTGACATCAAAAAGGCTAGGAAAAGCCAGGTGTGATCCAGCACTCAGAGGCTCAGGCAGGAGAACAGAGAATTCAAGACCAGTCAGGGCTTTATAGGGAAACCCTGACCTCCAATAGAGTTTGGGCTGGGAGAGGGGAACTAGGAGAATGTAAACTAAAGCTCTAATAATGGCCAACTCTGAGTAGTACAGGGGGATGGGTGTTTTAAGCCATTTGGCTTATTTGCACATTGTTTACATAAAACATGTAAGAAAATAAAGAGCAAGACTCCGTCTCTTGGAAAACAAACCAAAGTCAATAAAAGTGACAGCTTTTACTCAGATCCCAGAGCTGACGTCCATACCTGGCTGAACTTGAGTCTTTATGTCATGGATTCTTTACTGAATAATCCCACCAAAATAAAAGCTCCTCTTTGTTTTTTTTTTTTTTTTTTTTGAACCAGCTTCTCAATATGATCTAGGTATGACCTAGGTTGGCCTGAACGCTCCATCCTCCTGTCTGAGCTTCCCAAGTGCAAGAACTAAACACACACACCACCACAGCCAGTGAGGGAACACATCTCTAGTGTGTCCAGTCAGATCTAAAGCAACTTCTTAGACTCTCATCACACAGCCACCAAGCATGCTCTTGTCAAGATGGTCATCTTTTTTGGCATCGCCAATGTTGTCTTAAATCTATTTAATATAGCTTAATAAAGCACATTCCCAGCTCTATCATGGATGGCTTTATCACCTCCACCCTGTGACCGTGGGTGGGAATATGGATGTCACACCGGGCCTCCGCCATCCTATGCATCCTAACTTGGTATCTTCTCGAGCCTGCTGCTCTCCTTAGCTCAGGGAAGAGCAGGGACCGGCAGATGCTGACTCAGCGGCCTGGAAACCTAGGCGAGGATTCTGTTCCTCCAGTCTCATTAATCCATGGCTGCACTGGTCCTCCTTTGCCATGTCCCCTGAACCCATCACCTCCATCTACTTGTGTGTGCTCTGCTGCCTTACTTTCAATTCTCCCTCTTTAGTGGGCCTAACAGCTGCTATCCTGGACCCCCAGCATCCATCCCACTCCCTTCTGACTTCAAGATGCCAAGGTAACTTTTTACTTTTTACAGAGTATCTATCTCTCATCAAGCAACTGTAGCTTTTTTGTATTACTTACTAGCTCTCAGTGCCCAGGGGGAAAGTACACATCCCAGCATCCTCTTCCTCAGACTCCCACCCTGTAATTCCTGGGGACCAGGCTTACTCTCACACTCCCTCACGCATACCTATATCTCCTAAGGGCTCTGCTGTGCTCCTAGTCATTTCTTACACAGCTTCATCCAATTGCCCGGCAATGAGCTAAGAATAACACTTGTCACTTATATTCACAAAGTAAGCTTAATTGTATTGTTATTAGCACCATTTCCATGTAGTTTCCCATTTCCAGTTAGCTTGTTATTTCTATTTGATTCAGTATGATAGCTGAGCCAAATAACAGTGTTGACCCTTGTCACATACTCACCATGTATTTCTATGTATATTTTTGTTTTGGTTTTAGACAAGGTTTCAGGTAGCTCAGGCTGGTCTCAAACTGATAACATAGTAAAGGATGACTGTGAACTCCTGACACTTTTGTCTTCACTCCCAAATGCTATGCGTGCAGGCCTAGCTTAATACAGCTGGTGTAACATATAAAATTTGAAAGTTAATCCAATCAAATGCAAAACAGAAGATAAAATCCTTACTAGAAGAAAACTGTTCAACTAGAAATTTGGTTTCACAGAAAACAATCACCCCGTGGTGTTTCCCTCATCATCATGGTGATGTAAATGAACATGTGGGGGAAAAGAGCAACAGTTTTGCTGGTAACAATTTAGGATGGTGGCGGTGGCGGGGAGACGGGGACGATGCATACCAACCCTAGATCTGAAGTGTTTTGCCAAAAAAATGTGGCACAAATGGAGATCAGTCTAAGCACAGGTCCTCTGCCGTAGAAGCGCTGACACCAAGGGCCCCAGGATCTTTAACCAGAGCTGTCCTATGCAGGGTCAGCTGCCCAGCAGCATCTCCCAGCTGTACGACCTTAGTATAAAACTGTCTTTGAATATTGCCAAGCATCCCCTGGGCAGATGGATAAGTCCTCACCATGAATCCTTCCATTGTCCTGTAGTAAGGCTCCAACAAAAGCGAACCCAGGGAACAAACTTGGGAAGTCCGATCCCAGCCATCCGAACAGTGCACCAGCACGCTTGCATTTTCAACCACTATTGCCTGAGGGGAAACGACATGTTCAGAGTCCTGTAAAACACCCTTCACACAAATCAGCAAGGCTTGGACTGAAACCCACACCAGAAGGTATACATTATAATGAAGAGCTGGCCCTGCAATGACACTGTGGCCACAGCAATTAAAACAACAAAAAGCAAACAAACAAAATGTTGTTTCTAAGTACTTGGGGATTGTGAACCTCTATATTAGGGGCTCCATTAAAGAGGTGAAGAAGAGCAGAAGAGCGAGCAGAGGTTGTTTGAGAAGAACAAACCTCCATTCCTTCCCAAACATGACAAACCCCAAACCAATGCAAGACAGTTACCTTGGCTAAGAAGATTGCAGCATCCAAAACAGCTTTGATATGGCGAAGCCATCCCGAGCTCTCCAAACCAGAGTAGAAATCGTTGACAGACAGCCCCTTGTTGCTATTCACTATGAAACAGGGAGGAAGGTTTTCGATTAGGACGGGGCTAGAGCTCCCATTCATCCTTTCGGGATATCTCAAGGGGAGTGAAGTGGAGAAAATGCAAATAAATGAAAAGTGCTTTAGAGGCTGAATAACACTTGGGGGACATTTTTCAGCCCCTAGGTGGAGAAGCAATGTTCAATCACCTTAAAAAAGGTAGTGCAAATGTTTAATTACATCATAACTAGGATGTGCTGAATATTCAATGATCTCTAACAACAGCGATTTGTAAAACCATTAGAACCGTGCAGATAGAGCAGCTACCACCCAAAATAGGGCCACTGAGCACCTGAAATGTGGCTAGGCCAAAGTGAGCTATAAGTATAAAAACATTACTGCTTTCTAGGTCTCGATGACGAGGAAAGATGGTGCTGGCTGTGGCTGTGCAGACCTGGAATCTCAACACCTGAGACGCTGAAGCAAGAGGACCAGGACTTCAAGGCAAGCCTTGGCTACAGAATGAGTTCACGGAAACCATGAATCGAATAAAACCCTTCTCAAAAAGATATGAGCAAGCAACCGAGCGAGAAAGAGAGGGAGGGAGAAGGGGGAGATGGAGAAAGAGAAGGGGAGGAAAGAAGGAAAAGGGAGGGGAGAGAGAGACTAGTCTACCAGTTTTTATACTGACTAGATACTAAAATAATACTTTTACCATCTTAAGTATAATATCAGCATCAATCCCATGTTCTCTTGACTTTAGGAGTGTGACTGACAGAGAATTCAGAGCCCTATGTGACCACCACTGTATTTCTATCTCACAAAGTTTTCTAAAAGGTGTACAACAATCATACCTTCTAGTAATTTCTGAAGACTGGATCTCATGACATGAATATTTTCTATTCCAACAAACTGAAATCTAATATTAGAATAGTTGTCTTCATTTTCATAACCTTTTCCGGCTGCTCTGTTAGCCATTGCATTCAGCTAAAATTAAAAATTTTAGAAATTTACAATCAAATTATTTTTATCTTTAGTTTACCAAAAAACACTAAATCACACATTTTAGGCAGGAGAGCATTTAAAGAAACTCATCAAAATTGAGTTAGCTACTACTTTTTAACAAACAAAACTGCCACATCCCCAGCAGCGACGAAGGGCAGTGTGTGGGGAAACATGGCTGCCACACAGAAAGTCTAGTCCAGCAGACTCGCCAACTCAGGAGACAATTCAGCTTCCCATGTTCCCATAACAACTCAGAATTGGAACGAAAGGAATGGTTCCTGGAGAGCTCAGTTTGTAGAATCAGACTGTGAGCTCAAAGCACAGGTGCCCTGAGAGCCAGATGTGGACTATGGCGTCATGCCATGAAGCCTGCGCACGGAGACTTGTCGCTGTGCTCCAGCTGTGTTGTGTGCAGCATCACCCACAGTCTGGCACAGCTCTGAGAATCCTGCCTCCCATAAACTGGTCTCTAGAGGAAAACCAGACTGGTGACTCATCGGAGACCCTTAGGGTTCGGCTTGCTGGCTTCTGTCGTACAATATGTTACTATAATTACATTCTTTTCATAGGAGTATGAAGAAATAAAATGATCTAAACCGGCTGAAACTAACTTTTCATTAAGTGAATGGGCCTTGGGTTGGTAACAAGTACAGGGGAATTGGACCCACTGACTCATGAGTTACCAGCATCTATGGCTGAAGTCAAATTTAAAATGTTTCCACATCATCACTACTTAATTTTAATGTAGAAAAGCAAGTGAAAAAATGAGTACTTTCAGCCGGGCGGTGGTGGCGCACGCCTTTAATCCCAGCACTTGGGAGGCAGAGGCAGGCGGATCTCTGTGAGTTCAAGACCAGCCTGGTCTACAAGAGCTAGTTCCAGGACAGGCTCCAAAGCCACAGAGAAACCCTGCCTGGTCTACAGAGCTAGTTCCAGGACAGGCTCCAAAGCCACAGAGAAACCCTGTCTCGAAAAACAAAACAAAACAAAACAAAACAAAACAAAACAAAACAAAAAAAAGAGTATTTTTCTGTATCAATGACAATTAGATAAATAAAAACTTTTAGGTCTTAAGCTGCAAATCACAGTCAGACTTCATCTTCAAAATGTACATATTATAGTCATCTTTTATATCTAACATCGCCTAAATTTTGGTTCATTAAATTATAAGTAACAAGGGAACACAGTTTTTCTTATGAGACATTACCAGCTCTTGAGTCCTCAGAAAGTCTTTTATACTTAACAAAAGATTATCAATACCAACTTCCAATTGTTAATACTTTCTAATTTACTCGCGCTATCCTCATCGTCCCTAGTCCCACGGTCTTGGGTGAGGCTGCACAGTGTGAGCGTCACTGGGAAACACCGTGTCCCTTCCACAGTCTGCCTAAAGTCGCTCGAGGTCTACAGTGCTCACTCGCTTTCTCTCATCGCTTTCTCTTATTTTCTCATCATTCCAGATCTTTGAAGAGATCCTCACTATAATTCTGCCAATGTCCTTTTGTGTATCCCACCAGCTCTGCATGCGACGCTATAACAGAAATCAGAATAAAGTTAGCTGTCACTGCTGAAGACTGCAATCACTCTAATTTCACGGTCCTATGAGAATCAGCTCTCTACTGTGCAGAGAAGCACAGACTCAGACTCGGTCTCAATAATAAGAATTTAGCCTCGTACCACAGATGCCAGGAGAGCAGCAATTTCCTGTTCATTACAGTTCTCTAGTTCAGTGTTTCCTACATTAAATATTTTTTCCTCGAGTTTTTAATCTTTCAAATTATGGTCAAATTATTTTAATACTGAGTGTTTTGTCAATCGACAGTTTTAGTAACAAAGAGAGTAACCAGCTGGGGTTGGTGGCACATGCCTACATGTCTATAACTCCGGCATTTGGGAGTGGAGGCAGAATGACCACAATCCTTAGCTACACAGTATAAATGTACGTGAGACTTTGTCTCAAAAAAAAAAAAAAAAAAAAACTAAAACAGCAACAACAACAACAACCAAAAAAAAAAGAAGAAGAAGAAGAAAACTAGGGGGAGAGTAGTATGTTGTATTAAGATAAGACTTAATACATCTTCAAGAGTTCCATATGTGGCGGGGCGTGGTAGTACACATCTTTAATCCCAGCACTCAGGAGGCAGAGACAGAAGATCTTTGTGAGTTAGGTCAGCCTGGTCTACATAATGAGTTCTAGGACAGTCAGAGCTACATGGTGATAGCTTCTCATGAAAAAAACAAACAACAACAAAAAAAAAACCAGAGTTCCATATAGGTGTGTAAAGATGTGTGTGTGTGTGTGTGTGTGTGTGTGCCTCTGTGTGTGTGTATTTCAGGAGAAAGAAGAAATTATGACTTAGGGCACTAAGAACTGAGAACTGGTCTCCTAATTAGTATTCTTCAGAAGATTGATTTTCTTCATAACATTAGTCTCTATTAACTTAAAACTACAATTCAAGTATCTCTGGGCACATATATTTATTCCCATCAATTAAAGACATAAACAATAAAGATAAGAGACTGCACTTGGATACATACCTTGGGCCTGGTATCCACAACATACATGTAATGGTTTCCTGAGTTGGCTGCACTAATGGCTTTAAGCAACTTTTCATCCTCCACACACCTGGCACTGAAGCCTGACAATGGCTGGCTACATCGACAAATGGCAGCCTAATTTTAAAAAGACAAACCAGATTATACAAAGACTCTTAGAAGTTTTGAAAAAGGCCTAACGTGTGAAAAACAAACACACTATATATTTTAAAGTCAGCAAGAAAATAAGAAGGCATTAACTTTTGAGTACTATTGATTTAAATACCTGTCAGAATCTAGGTGTTGTCTGCATTTCCTTTGGTGTTTGATGAAAATGGCTCTCACAGACTCACAGGGAGTGGCATTATTAGAGGTGTGGCCTTGATGGAGTAGGTGTGGCCTTGGAGAAAGTGTGTCACTGGGCTTTGAGGTTTAGCTACTCAAGCCAGGCTCAGTGTCATACTCTCTTCCCATTGCCTAATGATCTGGATGCAGAACTCTCAGCTCCTTCTCCAGGGCCATGTCTTCCTGCATGCCACCATGTTTCCCACCATGACAATAATGGACTAAACCTCTGAACCTGTAGGCCAGCCCCAATTAAATGCTGTCCTATAGAAGAGTAGCAGTGGTTATGGTGTCTCTTCACAGCAATAAAACCCTAGGGCACTTCCCAATATTCTCTACTCCTAAGAAAACTAAATGTTTCCATACCTAGTTTGTTCACACACACACACACACACCAAATTAAAAACACCATGGCCCCAAGGAGCAGCACTTGGTCAACTGTCTATCAAGGAGGAAACACTGTATTCCAGGGGTTCTATGAGCTACAAATAACTTTCAGCTCAAGTTCAAGTAAAGAAGATGGGCTAGCAATACATATGGAACAGAAAATTCTAAGATGCTGCTGGGAATACTACGGGTGCTAGGCACTGAACTCAAGTCCTCTGAATGAGCAGGAAGCACTCTTAATCACGAGCCATCTATTCCGCCCTTAAAGGAACTTTTAAATGAACAACATCTCGGGCTGGAGAGATGACTCAGCAGGTCAGAGCACCTACTGTTCTTCCAGAGGTCCAGGTTTTGGTTCCCAGCACCTGCACAGAGACTCACAACCTTTGAAACTCCAGTTCCAGGGGATCCAATGGGCACCAGGCACGTATCTGGTGCACAGACATACTTCCAGGGGATCCAATAGGCGCCAGGCACACACCTGGTGAACAGACATACTTCCAGGGGATCCAATAGGCACCAGGCACACACCTGGTGCACAGACATACTTCCAGGGGATCCAATAGGCATCAGGCATGTACCTGGTGCACAGACATACATTCAAGAAAAGCACCTATACATGTAAATAAGAATTAAAGTATAAATTAACAACATCTGAAATTTTATTTCCTTACTAAAAATCAGAAAGCTTTTTATAAGGTGAGGCATAAAGATGAGGAAAGATGATCTAAGAGGAGGCATATCTATAAAAAACCAGTGGTTTGTCTTTTACTATATTTTACTTCCTTAAAAAAACTAAAAGATTGGGGCTGGAGAGATGGCTCAGAGGTTAAGGATACTGACTGTTCTTCCAGAGGTCCTGAGTTCAATTCCCAGCAACCACATGGTGGCTCACAACCATCTACCATGAGATCTGGTGCCCTCTTCTGGCCTGCAGTCATACATGGAGGCAGCACATTATGTATACATAATAAATAAAATCTTAAAAAAAAAAAAAAACTAAAAGATTTAGAAGCGTGTATCTTTCTTCACTCTTCTCCATAGCCCTACCAGCTTAGCTCTACAGAAACACTCCAATAAAGTAGCATTGGGGGAAAGTGTTACAAGTACATATCTGTATATTTTTCTTGCACACACAAAATATTATCATAAAAACTCCAATGGCAGAAGAAAATGAGGACTGTGATGTTGTTTTTAATGTTCTCCCCTATCTTCTGACAATACACAACTTTTAGTCAGTTTCTTGTTGTCTAATGTGGTGTCCTAGCTCTCTGAGCATAAACAGGCTTCTTGTTGTTGTTTTAAAAGAACATTCTACATGCCTTTTACACCTAGCCTCTATTACTAAGTCAACCACTGACTATTTTTAGCATCTGTCCAATAAACAATGTGTTCTAAAAGGGTGTGCCCAAGAAACTCCCTATGGCTTAAGGTACTAGAAGTTAGAAACTTGGGTTTAAAAATTTACCTGAACAAAGTTCTAAGAAATACAAGGCCTATGAAGCCACCAGGACAATCAAGGACATAGAAATTCCAACAGAGAGGGAAATGCAAATCAAGACAACTTTAAGATACCATCTTACACCTGTCAGAATGGCTAAAATCAAAAACACCAATGATAGCCTATGCTGGAGAGGTTGTGGAGAAAGGGGTACACTTATCCATTGCTGGTGGGAATGCAAACTTGTACAACCACTCTGGAAAGCAGTGTGGCGGTTTCTCAGAAAATTTGGGATCAACCTACCCATGGACCCAGCAATACCACTCTTGGGAATATACCCAAGAGAGGCCTTATCATGCAACAAAAATATATGCTCTACTATGTTCATAGCAGCATTGTTTGTAATAGCCAGAA